AAAGGAGAGAGATACATACATGGAGTTTAACTGATCTATATGGTACCCCCTTCACTATATCTTTGAAGTTGAATCAATCCCAGAAAACATGGAGAAAGATCACTTCTTGGAAATAGCTTAACAGTAAAACAGTATTTTCCTTTACTAAGCTAGAGTGTTACTAGCAACCAACACTATTTCCAAGAAGGCTCTCGAAGTTCATCTCGAATTCGAGTCTCGACCATGGGATATACGACATCCTATTACATGATATCCTCAAGCTATAAGGTAACCAACATCGAGTCAAGGTTCAGGCAAAAAGGGCTCTAGCCTCACTGAGAGAGCTATCACCAACAGCCTAACAGGCGAAAAGGCAACACGGAATCGTGCCTGAGTCTGCGACCACACCGAACGACTACAACGGAGGATCGACTAATTGACCTCCAGTCAACTCGAGGAGGATACAAACATACCACATGAAAGAACATCACTAACTACACACTCTATTGCTTGAACGAAGTGACTCCAACAGGAATTGAGTGAATTACATCAAATCAAGTTGGAGCAAGGAACTCAAGACGGAAGCAAGCTCACAGGAGTGACCTACAGGTACGCAAGGTGCCGCAGCTCGAGCACTGTGAACAGCTACCTGGAAGCAACCTCGTACAACAAGAGTTGATTGAGTTGCGACTCATTGAAGATTTTCACAAGAGCGACTCATTGAAGATTTTCACAAGAGCTACTGTAACAGTTACCGGAGCACGACCTCAAGATCTGCTACGGAGCAACCACGAACAAGCTAGCTCACAGGAGTGAACGAGCGAACATCAAGATTGAGGGTGTAAAATACTCGTTAGTTTAACAAACTATGGCCACGGAGTGGCTTTTGTGACGCGGGCAATGGGTGGGGAAGCCCCCACCTAGCTGAGTCGTCATCTACTTATTTGCCCAATCAACATGACCTCATCCACTGGCCCAACGTGGAGCCAGCACCAAGTAGACAGATGCCCTTGGTAGGGGGGTGAGCACATTGATCAGGAACCTGCAGCGCAAAACCTGGGTTACCTTCTGGGATTCAGCTGGCGCGTTTGACACCAGGAATTCGGTCGTTGAGATCGTCGTTCGCCAATGAACGTACCTATTCTCAGAATCACTAATATAGTAGATCTCCCTTGGGGACAAAACTCGAAGAACCCCGACGCAGAAGTCGTTACGGACTCTAGCGCTTAGCGAGCTATATGCCATGACCCCAGATATTGAGGTTCCGCTACGCTTCCAGTTTAATGTGTGCTCTAGCTGGCGGAATTCAGGTCCCAAGCTTGGCGACAGGTAGCGCTAATTTGGCTATGTGCCAGGCACCTACATGCGCGAAGCAGACGCGCCGTATAGGTCTATGTGGTAGCGTTGGCCTGCCTCCTCAGTCAGCTGAGCGCGAGCGGAGCAGATGTGTGTAACCATCCTATCGTGCGATCTGACGAGCACCATTGTTACAGTCACTACTATGAGAGGACCGATACGCTCAACGACACTGGCAGAAGATAAATGGCGTGGGCGTCACACATAGCAACGACCACTGCAGCAGTGTGTTGGTTCCAGGAGGGAGGCACAGTGGCTGCTGGAGCGTTGTGGGCTGTTCGAGGAGTTGTTGAGTCAATAGTGTAAGTGAAGGAGTATGTGCGGGTCTGCATATTCCGCTGAGGGCTGGGATGCGATGCCTAGGGTATAGGCAGTGCGCAAGGGGATGCCTGGGTCTGGGGTCTTGATTGAAGTGTTCTTGTTGGTAGCGGTTACGTTGGGGATGTTGTAGGTCATGGGGTGGATGGTGATGATTGTTACTGGGTAATAGGAGTGCTCGTGCACTTTCTTGTATCAAGAGTGCGAGAACAAATAGTCGTCGCTTCACCGGTTGGGTGTAGGTGTGGCTCTCGGATTGGGTGTGGATCTCTGTCAATGATCGGTGTCTATGATCGATATGGATGCTGGTTGGCTGATTTCGTATGCCTTGCAGGGTCAGTTGGGTTGTTGACGTCAGTTGGCCTGCAGGAGGATGAGTTGGCGTATGTGCGGATGGTTGGGTGCAGTGTGGGAGTGGGGGAATGTCTGGGAGGACCTTTGGGTTTGAGTGAAGTATGTGTGTGTAGACGTGGGGAGGTCATGGTGGGTGGTAGGTGGGTTGGTGGGAGAGGTGTGTATCCTGGAGTGTTGACTGTAGTGTCGTTGCTTCAACTCAAGCAATGGAGGTTTCTTGTGAGGTGGCGAGATGTTTGATGTAGAAGGGTGTAATCAAGGGGCAATGCACTGAGGCAGTGGTAATCAAGGTTTATAATACTCATAACGTGTGAGGTTGTTCGCTACTTGTTTGGTGGGATACAAGCTGTGCTAAGGTCTGTGGTGTCTTAGGCTGATAATCGTCACTAACCTCTGCAGAGGAGTAAAGCTGTATCGAGCTCATGGCGTGGTAGTAGTGCTGGTATCTTTCTAGGGAACAACTGAGGAGAAGTCAAGGCTATGAGTCTGGAGTCGCGAGTTACGAGGGCAGGTGGTCGGGGTGGTGGATTGCAAGGGTGTTGCATTGGTTGATGGGTGTCTGTGATCTATCATATGTGTATTTCGGACTGTTAGCGAGCGCCGGGTGCTATGTCATCAACTATCCGCTGGTACTTTCGTGTTTGGGCGTATTCTGTTTTGTCAACGTGGTCCAACATGCAACCGCAGAGTCACCAGCTCGAAAGGATGTGTGAGCGAGGGTTATCTGCGAATTTCAGCGTGGCATCTGTGGCAGGGCGCTACTGTGTATGGACGTCACTCTCATGAGAGCAGGAGATTATGAGATGGATAGCAGGCGAGTGTTTATAGGTTAGGTAAGCTTATCTATGGTTACAGTTCGCTTTCACGCCCTTGCAGTTCTGTCTGCGGCTCAATCATTTGGAGTACCACACTCAGTAGGTGAGGCAGATAGGGGCAGAGTGGTGGCTGTTTCAATGAAGGTATTGCACAATCTAGCCAAAAACGCTAGAGGGGCAGCTTTTGTAGTTGTTCTCGTGGGGGTGAGATCCTTTGGAGATGAGTTGGGTATCTCAGGGAGGGTCTGTGAAACTAGCAAATTCAGCCAAGTCTGGAGATACAAGAACTCAAGTCCTTACAGGAACTCTGTTGTTGTTGTTCCTCTTGGAGAGGAGTTAGATATCAATGTAGGGGTGGTAACAGTAGTAGGTGTCGATCAGTTAATCAGTCTGTATAGGGATAGGACTGGTTGGATCAGTAGGATCAGTTCAAACAGTGAGTCAGGTGACAATGGGATTTCTTCGGCCGTCAGGAGCTTAGTTCAGAAAGCAATAATGACACGTATGGGAATTGTTTTCTGTACTGTGCTGTGGAAGGCCGGAGACTTCTTCTTGTGGTCAAATCTTAGGATCAAGTTCCAACAAGGACGTCGTGGGAAAGCTCGTGTTCAATCGTGACGCGATTCACAACGTCCGTTCCGAAGCAAACTGGAAATAAAACAAGGAACGTCGCCAAAGAATAATCCAACCAGAACAAACGACAGGGAAAACGCGATGCTTGTCCCTCATCAATATAATGTAAACGATACCGTGATGAATCAACAGTATCAGCACCGCAAGTACCGTCAGCCAAAGTACAAAGTCCTTATGCTATGAACCGAGTCAATGACAATGGCACTGTAGGGCTCCGACCTGCTACTGCCAATGGCGGCACAGTCTACCAGACTTGGAACATAAGATATATACACCCATACAAGGCCTGATCTCCTTGTAGTATTGCCATCGTGCGACGAACATGTCAACATCCAAATCTCATGAGAGTGCCCCGCACTTAAAATCATATGTTCTCCTTGTCCGACTGCTTTCGCGCCTTCTGTGACCATTGTCAGGGGGCGATGAAATACACGGCTTCTAGCCTTATTCGCGACTAGATCCTAAAATAGGGTTTGGATTCGACTCATGACTGAGTCTCTCGTGAATAGTCATTTGGAACAGGGTTCTCAATGACGCTCTAAGTCATACTAGGTTGATGGTGAATCATCGCGCTAGATATTTAGCCAGCGTGGAGTACTTCCACGCTACTAGAATCCTACTAGATCCATGCTAGACAAATCTTCCATGCGTTCCGTTTTAGGATCGTGGAGATACGTAGGATTACTACCGCAACCTACTCTATCACACTTTATAGTCTCCCGCGGGAGACCAGATCTACGATCCCTTGATGATGATCTCTCTCGTTGATTAGTTTTCATAGCTTTCTAATCTCTCTCATAACTTTCATTCTCTCAAACTCAAAACACTCGAAAGATCTTTACACTAGCTTTGAGCTTAGTGCACAAGTGTGCATAATTGTGGCGTTGAACTTGAAGAAGAAGTCAGGTAGAAACAACACGAAAGGCCAACCATTCCAGCCCAACTCCACGGAGCAATTCTTCCGAGGGACCTTCAATCACTTGAAAAAGAAAGGAATCATGTTCGACTTCGACAAGGACTTCAATGAGGCCGGTCAATTTCACGCTGTCGTCAAGGAATGATGGGCTGAGTACAGGAAGATCGACCCAAAGTTTGGCACCAATAGCGAGAAGAAGAGGATCAATGAAGATATTTATGGACTCGTTTGTAAAGCGGTAAGAGATGGCGTGATTTCCATCAAGGATCGACAACATGTCTTTGAGGGAGTTCACTTCAATGGTGGTTTGTTCATGTGTTTTCGGGGAAAGCAAGATCATGCGGCGACTCGAAAAGACAATCTTCATAGTGGAGTCTACGAGGCTTCTGATTAACTTGAAGATGACAGTGAGGAGGATCTTCCCGGAATACCATGGCGGGGATTCTTCATTCCCTTCAACAAGACAGAACAGCTTGAGTTTGGAAACACCAGTCTTCCACCGGAACCCGATAGAATCAAGACCACGCGCTCATATCAAAAAGAATATGATCCGGTCGAGTGGCATGATGTGTACATGGAGCACATGCATCCAGATGCAGTTGGTTTTTACGCCTACGATGTACCCATACACCGTAAAGGAGTCCAAGATAGAGAACGCCAGACTTCGGCAACGGGACATTGACTGGAACAGAGAACACCCAGACAATCCCAGACCAGTGAAGGAGTATGACGTTTGGTATAAACCGTGCAATCCAGACATCGCTCAGCATACCGGAAATGTCGGTCACAATCAGTACTCTAAGATTTTTCAGAAGTTTTGTGACCGAATCGGTGTCCAGGACGCGGAGAAAGTAGCCTCTGGTCATGCATTGAGAGCCAAGCTTGTACCATCATGAAGGGGTTGTGTGTCGATCCCCATGCAGTTGCTCGACACATGGGACACAAGAGTATCGATACGCAAAAGCACTACACCGAAACCACATTGGCCATGAAGTCCACCGTGTGTTGGAGGTTGTATTACAGACACCTCAATACAAATTATTCGTTTATCCCAATCTAGTTTAGAGGGGATATCTATATCTATTCTCTAGTTACATACATGGGGAGTTTAACTGATCTATATGGTCACCCCCTTCACTATATCCTTTGAAGTTGAATCAATCCCAGAAAACATGGAGAAAAGATCACTTCTTGGAAATAGCTTAACAGTAAAACAGTATTTTACCTTTACTAAGCTAGAGTGTTACTAGCAACCAACACTATTTCCAAGAAGACTCTCGAAGTTCATCTCGAATTCGAGATCTCGACCATGGGATATAGACATCCTATTACATGATATCCTCAAGCTATAAGGTAACCAACATCGAGTCAAGGTTCAGGCAAAAAGGGCTCTAGCCTCACTGAGAGAGCTATCCCAACAGCCTAACAGGCGAAAAGGCAACACGGAATCGTGCCTGAGTCTGCGACCACACCGAACGACTACAACGGAGGATCGACTAATTGACCTCCAGTCAACTCGAGGAGGATACAAACATACCACATGAACATCACTAACTACACCACTCTATTGCTTGAACGAAGTGACTCCAACAGGAATTGAGTGAATTACATCCAATCAAGTTGGAGCAAGGAACTCAAGACGGAAGCAAGCTCACAGGAGTGACCTACAGGTACGCAAGGTGCCGCAGCTCGAGCACTGGAACAGCTACCTGGAAGCAACCTCGTACAACAAGAGTTGATTGAGTTGCGACTCATTGAAGATTTTCACAAGAGCGACTCATTGAAGATTTTCACAAGAGCTACTGTAACAGTTACCGGAGCACGACCTCAAGATCTGCTACGGAGCAACCACGAACAAGCTAGCTCACAGGAGTGAACGAGCGAACATCAAGATTCGAGCTACAGAGCGGCAAACTGAAGATCTTTGAGCTGCGTAAACAGCTATCGTACTACAGTATGATCCACAGCCACGTTTGAAGTGCAGGAGTGGTGAACCAAGCCAAGCTATCCAGCTAGCTACCACGACGAGTCCAACAAGCGAACGAGAGTACTGTCGAAGCTAACAGGAGTGACACGAAAGCTAGTGACAACCTGAAGAAGAGCAACACGGAGAGCAGTGTTGCCACGAAGAGGAACTGGATAACAAGCTCCAACAGGAAGAACCACAGAGGTACTTCCGTGGGAGAGTTCCTATCCTCAACAAGAGAGCCATCGAAATAGGCTACTAGAAGAGAGGTGCGAAGGAAAATTCCAACGCACAACAAGACGAATTACCAGGCGGATCACTCGGCAACCACAGGTCCTACAGGAGGACTGTCATACACAGAAGTGGGCTACCATACAGTCACTGACAGGCCCTCAAGAGTGCAAGCACTTGAATCGACCTCAGAGCGAGTTGCATCCATCGGCAACAGGCTGGATAAGCGGACATCTGCGAGCGAATTCCGCCCGTCAACAAAGTCAGTCAACGATCAAGTGATCGAACGACGACGGCGACCACAAGAACAGCGGCAGCCAGCTACTACTAGCAGCCGCTACCGCTAGCTACTGATACTGCTACAGGAACAAGACGAAAGACATCGACTACTACTAGTCAGTTGCCACTGTTCCACCAGCCAAGAGCAAGAGAAGACGACCGAAGCGATTGAGCGATCGCTACTACTGTCAACAAGAACAACAAGAGTTCGCTACTACAACAACAGCAGGATTGACAGCATCATTGTGTTAATATCGACAGCGCCATTGTGTCTGTCGATCGACAACAGTGTCGGCAACTACTGTCGGCAGTCAACAGAAGAAGACTTTGTCTTTTATGAAGAAATCGCTGACAGCAACCATGCAGTTCCACGGAACGGCAAAGAACAGAGCCAAGCAGTTCAGCGGCCGCAAAATGGCACAGCCACTGAACGTCACCACGAAAAAGGTATCCTTAGCGAAAAGTATCTTTCCAGCAGGAGTGTACGGAGCCAGATCAAGATCTCTCCGTGCAACAAGAGGAAACTACGGCGAACCAAGCCATGTCTCCGTACCAAAGACAGTGCCAGCTACCCACCGGTCCAGTGCACCAGTACTGGAGCATGCAACTCATGCAGATAGCTAGCTAGCTAGCTACCGGTACAATAGCTGCCAGTGCAAGAGCTAGCTAGCTAGCTAGCTGGCAAAGCGATACAAGCTACAGCTAGAGGAAGCACAGGAGTGCCTCCTCCCAGCAATGCAAATTTTCTTTGGAGTGTGTATTGAGTTTACACTCAGCACCTCCTACCCTTTCATGGAGTGTGTATTGTGGCATCCAAGCCACAGCACCTCCTACTACCAATTTTTGGAATGTGTATTGTGAAACTAATCCACAGCACTTCCTCCTTATGAAACAGGCAAACCTGAGGCAACAACAGCCTCCAGGCAATAACAGATACCATTACAAGTCTATGCCCTTGCTATTTGATCACAGCAAGTGCACAGGAGTGTGGTGGTACCCAGAACCTACAAGCCTACAAACAAAATCATCATAACATCCGCCTTTATAGGCAATGCCGCAACCATCAACGGCACTAATGGCCACAACTACACGGCCAACAACCATCAATGGCTACAACAACAGCCAATAACGGTATCTACGGCTACCAAACTGATTACAACGGAATCGACCAAACCAAATTCGAATGGCAACTACAATAATGGCAACTGCAACAACAGCAGAACGACAGTGAACGTTGAACCAAGTAGCTAGCTACAAGCAACTCAAGAGTTCACAAGACAAGGAACCAAGCCACAGGATGGCTGGAGCATTCAGAGTTTGACCTACAAGAGGAAACCTGATCAATAGAAACAACAAGAGGGTGCACACCTCAGCTCCACTGCAACTACTGTACAGAGATTGCAACCAACCTCGTCTCACACCAACAGAAGTACATGAGTACATCAAATCAAGCCTACAACAGATACAACTACGAACACCTACTGCCACAGCCATCTCACAGGAGTGTAAGAGCAGTGACATCACCAACCAAAGGATCTACCGACTACATCACCATCGAACCATCATCGACCGTGACACGTCCAGGTCCAGTGGAGCCCACCAAGGTGGAGCCTCCACAACTACTACCGAATACTTCCTTACAAGTTTCCAAAACTTCCAAGGGCTTCTAGCCCCAACTCACAGTTGCTTTTCATGACGACACTGTTCACATGTCCACATTGACTGTGACAGATTTGTCAACACTGCTATGGATGGCAAGCTTCTCACCACCAAGCGGAATGCCGAGCATCCTAGCAATTGGTCTCTCTTGACCAACAACTGTTCCTTATGGAGCAACCATCATTACATTAATTATTCGTTCCACGGTATCCTTTATGGAACCGTGCAGGAGTGTGTTGGAGGTTGTATTACAGACACCGTTCCCATACAGGAGGAGTCATGTCCTTTGGAAGAGGAGCGGTGCTTTCTGTATCCGCGAAACAGAAGCTCAACTCAAGAAGCAGCACTGAAGCGGAATTGATTGGAGCTGACGATGTTATGTCGCCCATGTTGTGGGCAAAGTTGTTCCTTGAAGAGCAGGGGATCGTTGTCAAGGACAACATCCTCATGCAGGACAACAAAAGCACGATCATTCTTGCAGAGAATGGCAAAGGCAGTTCGGGCAAAAGAACTCGGGCTATCAACATTCGTTTCTTTTTTATTCATGACCAAATTGGAAAAGGCAACCTTAGAGTTGTGTACTGCCCAACCTTGGAGATGCGTGGAGATTTTTTCACGAAGCCCCTTCAGGGCAAGCTCTTCCACGAGCACAGGGCTTTCATCATGGGGCATCCACCCCTTGTTTGATTGCCTAATTTATTTTATTCGTTCCACGGTAGCCACTTAGGGCACCGTGCAGGAGTGTGTTGGAGGAAACATACCTGACACCTCTTTACTATTGACTCGTGTGTTAATCATCTAGTCCGGTTCGCATGTAAATTCATCATGCAAGGAACCAAGGGAGTGAGTGACACGACGGAGAAGTGTTACCACGGAAGAGAAACTGGATAACAAACTCCAACAGGAACACTACAGAGGTACTTCTGTGGGAGTTCCTTCAGCCTCTCTATCAAGCCATCGAATCAGGGCTGATAGAAGAGAGGTGCGACAGAAGATTTTCACGTCGCACAAACAAGACGTATTACCAGGCCGATTACTCGGCAACGATTGGTCCTACGGAAGGACTGCCATACACGGAAGTGGGCTACTATACTGTCACTGACAGGCCCTGAAGAGTGCAAGCACTCGAAGAGCCGAGGGAAGAAAGATTCATCCAACGGCGACAGCGCCATTGCGATCGTGGAATTTGCGAGTTTTGCAATTCCACCAGTGAAGAACAAGACGATCCAAGC